GAGAGAGAGAGAGAGAGAGAGAGAGAGAGAGAGAGATGAAATGAACTAACAATAGAAGAGAATCTTTGTAACTCAAGATTGAACTGTTGGGTCCTTGTTGCTCTCTGAGCTCGGTAGTTTCCTTGCAGACGTTTCATGACCCAACTAGGTAGCATCATCAGTGCTAGAAAGAAATGCGGCTTGCAGAGTGGAGGAGGAGGAGGAGACGGGAGGAGGAAGAGAAGAAGGACTGTGGGGTCCGTGATGCTTCCTGAGCTTGGTTGTTTCCTTGCAGACCTTTCGTTACCAAACTAAGTAACATCATCAGCCTAACAACTAAAGGGACTAAATCCAATGATAACAGGTGCCCAAGGTACACTTTCTCCCCTCTTGGCCATCCTCTAGGTTGCAGACCTGAGTCTCTTTGACCTGATTGGACTCGAGAAGAAAATGACGCGGTATGAATCCCAGGTGGTGCCCAAACAAAAAATAACCCGGAAGCTCATCGAAGAGATCTACACCTCTCCCCTGCCGCCTCCCAGGCCGCCTCCCGTCAAGCTGAAGCCCAACAGGTAAGCCGCACCTAGCCTTCCATAACACCACTGCCTCTTGTTCAGCCAATCGTAATGCTGATCGGACTCTTGTCCCTGCACAGTTTTGTGTGGCATGTTGATGCTCATGGGAGTGTTGCGGTGGCCCAGAGCTGGAGCTCTCACCTTACAGTTAGGAGGCTGTGAGTTCAATCCTAGGTAGAGGCAGATATTTCTCTCTGGCTGGGCAGGATGAGAATATATCTGCTGAACAAAACTCCACCCTGGCAACAGGAATGGCATCCGGCCATTAAACCTTCTGCTAGCTCCATTCCCTTGGCCAGATTCCACCCAGCAAGGAATTATGGGGTCGTTAAAAGACGATGATGATGATGTTGATGCTCACGGTCTCAAGCATGGGTCTCAATTTCAGAATGGCATTCGAGGGTTGGAAGGAAGGAAGGAAGGAAGGAAGGAAGGAAGGAAGGAAGGAAGAGTTTAAAGCATCTCCAAGGGTTAGGGCACCATGACCATCCCCTAAATATTCAACCCCCTTCCACCCTAAGGTCATTAAAAAGGATGCTAGAATGTGCCTTTGGCTCAAGATAGCAAAATCCCAAAATCCTCTCCTCCTTGAGGAGAGAGTTCCTCAATTTTTAAACGTGGTCGAAAGGACTCTGAATTACCGTATTTTTTGGAGTATAAGACGCACCGATGTTTTGAAGAGGCAAATTTTTAAAAAAAGTTTGCACTCTGCAAACCTCCCAAAAATGTCCCGTTTTTTGCAAAAATGGGCCCGCTTTTTGTCACAGAGGGCATGGATAGCCTTTAGGAGGCTTACAAAGTGCTCCTGGGGGCGGGGGCAAAATTGAGCAACAAATGGGCTGTTTTTTTGCTCATTTCTGCCCTCCCCAGCCCNGCCGGTGAGATTTGAACAGCTGAACTGCAGAACTGCAGTCAGCTGAAGTAGCCTGCAGTGCTGCATTTAACCACTGCGCCACCTCGGCTCTTAATAAGAGAGACACGTTGGTACAAACTGTGGGAAACCTGAATCTGAAAGCTTCCTGGGTTTTCCAACCAGTTGAAAGTTCAAGACCTTGCCCCCACACCCACAAGTCCATCACATGGTCCATTCTTCCTCTGCCACGCTTGCATTTCCACCCACTCAGTTCCAGTCAGGTGCAGAGACAAAGGATGACCTTGGGCTTCTAAGAAGGAATTTTTTATTTTGGCAACAACACATTCTACTCTTTACTATTTCCCCTCCCAATTACCCCACTAATAAAACAGCATAGTAAAATAATAGAGTGTGTGAAAGGCCAAAGATCCAGCAAGGAATATGGCTGCAGGCCTGACACGCAGATTCAAAGATTTGCTGAGAATTTTAATGAAGAGGCATTTTGCCCAAAGCTGTTGCAATTCCTTTGTCTGGCAGGAGGGAAGATCACTCTGTCCCTACTCAGGACGTTTTATCTTCCCTAGTTAGTAATTATCATTGTATACCTTAAGCAGACAGAGATAAAGGGGCTAAATTTGACTGAGAAAGGTGAAAACAGAATATGGGTTATAGGGCTTTGTGAGGATCTCTTCCTCTCGTTAGAAGATGCTTTCTAAGGTGAAACAGCACCTTTTATTTGTTCGTTTGTTTGTCAAACATGTACAAGGTAACAAGTATAGGTATGAGCATAAACATGAACAAAGGAAGTAGGTGCAGATGAATGGGGACAATAGGACAGGGGCGGAAGGCACGCTGGTGCGCTTATGCACGCCCCCTTTACGGACCTCTTAGGAATGGACTGAGGTCCATGGTAGACAGTTTAAGGTTGGAGCTGTGTGGGGTTTGAGGAGGTAACAACAGAGTTAGGTAGAGCATTCCAGGTGTTGACCACTCTGTTGCTGAAGTCGTATTTTCTGCAATCGAGTTTGAAGCGGTTGACCTTCAGTTTGTATCGATTGTTTGCCCGTGTATTATTGTGGTTGAAGCTGAAGTAGTTGTTGACAGGTAGGACATTGCAGCAGGCAATTTTGTGTAGTATGCTTAGGTTGGACTGCAGGCAGCGCAGTTCTAGGTTTTCCAAGCCCAAAATTTCAAGCCTGGTGACATAACGGATTTTGTTGTGAGCAGAGGAGTGGAGGATTCTTCTCGTGAAATACCTCTGGACTCTCTCGATCATATTAATATCCGATATACAGTGTGGGTTCCAGGCAGACGAGCCTGTATTCAAGAATCCGCCTTCAAAAGACGCCCTTATGTGGATGACACTGCTTAGGGCCCCTCAATTCAGTTTCCTTGCCAAGTTTGTCCTGTTGACACTTAGTGTAAAGCATAAGCATAACGTAAAGCGAATGCAATCATTGTCTTAATCAACAATCAACAATAAATATATTTCTGCCTTTCTGTCTTTCAGGTGGTTGAAATAAAACTGCAGATTGAATTTCAAGAGAAAAGGAGAAAAGCATTGAATTTAAAAAGACGTACCAAGAAAGGTACTCTTTCCCTTTTCGTTTGCTACACCATCAGATTACAATATTGCAGACTAGGAAGTTGCGGGGTGCGGGAGTGGTAGTGTCCTCGGTGCTCTCTGAGCTGTGTGTGTGTGTGTGTGTGTGTGTGTGTTTCTAGCAGACAATTCCTTACCAAACTAGGTGACATCATCAGTGCGGTGTCATTTTGCGTTATTGCAAAGCAGGAAGCACGTTCTTGCTCAGAGTTAACAGGTGGCTTTTAAAACAGGTTTTGGGACTGGCTAGTCTAAATAAAAAAAAAAAAGAATTAGGGGTAGCAGCATTCCAGTATTTGAAGGGGTGCCTTAAAGAAGAAGGGGGTCAATTTATGCTACAAAGCTCCTGAAGGCAGGAGGAGAAACAGTGGATGGAAACTAAACAAAGAGAGAAGCAACCAGGAATTGAGGAGAAACTTCCTAACAGTGAGTGCAATTAACCATTGGAAGAGCTAGCATTCATAAATTGTGTTCACTGGATGTTTTTAAGAAGAGACTAGACAGTCACTTGTCTGAAATGGTATAGGATCTCCTGCTTGAGCAGGGGCTGGACTAGAAGACCTCCAAGGTCCCCTCCAGCTCTATTCTATTCTAAACATTATCTTTTCACTGGGTTTATTTTCTTGCTCCCAGCCGAATTGACATGCTAGGCTAACATATTAAGTGGGTTGACTTAAAAAGTGCTTTAAAAAGATAACCATTTTGCAGGTAAAGAGTCGAGACACTTAGAGGACATCCTTCTGGAAAAAGGAAACAAGTCGGTAAGGGATTTTTTTTCCTCCCGTCTCCCTGTTGATAACTCTGGACGGATTGCATGTTTGACAATTATTGAGATTACAATTTTTCAAGCAGTATATTTAGAGAGTGGTCGATCTGCTGCCAGTAAACAGCTTTCTCGTATATAAGGAACATAATAGGAAGATGGGGAGCCGTAGTGAGAAAGTGGTGTATAATAGAAAGCCATTGTTGGTCAGTTTCCTTGGATAACCTTTGAAGAAGGGAGCAGGGTAACATGAAGCTCAGAGGTGATTATTCAGCCGCTTTGGACTGGTTCGGGTGAACCAGTGGTAGAAATTTTGAGTACCGCATTTTTTGAAGTATAAGATGCACCTTTTTTCCCCCCAAAAGAGGATGAAAATCTGAGTTCATCTTATACACTGAATACAGCATTTTTGACCTCCCGAAACCCTGCCCCCTTCGCAAAAATGGCTACGCATAGCCTTTAGGAGGCTTCCAGAGTGCTCCTGGGGGCTGGGGAGGGCAAAAATGAGGAAAAAATGGGCCGTTTTTGCTTGCTTTTGCCCCACCCCCTCAATCCGCAACAGCAATTTGCAGGCCTCCTAAAGGCTATGCATGCCCCTTTTCTGGGCAAAAAATGGGCCAATTTTTATGGAAAACAGGTCATTTTGTGCTTGTTTTTGGACCTGACCCCAGGAGCACTTTGCAGGCCTCTCAAACCCTCTGCATGCCCCATTTTTCACAAAAAATGAGGTGTGCAGAGAGTCTGGGAGGTCTGCAGATTGCAGAAACTTTTTAAAAATATTTACCTCTTCAAAATCTTGGTGCGTCTTATACTGCAGTGTGTCTTATATTCCGAAAAATACAGTAGTTCGGAGAACCGGCAAATACCACCTCTGGTTGGTCCCACCCTCCCACCTCTGCTGTTCCCTGTCCTATATTCCCTTGGTTTTGTTTTGGCTCAGCTGATTCACGCACTCATAGAACTGGTAGGAAAAGATTTGAAATCCCACCACTGATCAAGCTATATGTCAAACTCTTTCAATAATGGCTGCTGTGGTGGGCAGATGTTTTTCCACGGGGGCTTGTGTGTGTGTGGAATGATGGAGATCTTCCCCATCCTCTTCTTCACAATTTTGGGGGGGTGTTAGTTAGGTAAGCTCCCGGTTGGGAGAGCGAGTACGTTCACCGAAGTGTTGGGAGAGTTGTGTTGGAGAACACACAAACCAGCATACAGAGACACTGCAGTTTAAATAGGCTTTTACTTTTGTGGAAATAGAGGTATCAGAGTCCAT